GACAGTGGGGGAAGAGTACTGTGTTGCCCCTGTGAGGAACGCGAAACGTCACTGGAGGCTGCCATTGTGGGCTCCATTGTGTTCACTGTCACCTCCTGATTTGCTTGCCTTCTCCACATCCACACCACATTTAAATCACCTAGTACCACTTCAGTTCAGTCATGGGATTCCCCCAAAGCATTCTGGGAGCTGTAGTGAGGTCTGGCTGGCTGCTGCTGTTGCTGCTGCTGCTTGTCACTGTTCACTGTTTCTGTGTTCTGTGAGGAGAATACAGGACACTGCAAAAGACACAGGGTGCAATAAACCAGACAGAGAGGATCCCTCCCTATACATGTAAATAGAGGAGACTTCTGTTCAGGAGATTTCTGTATAAAGAACTCTTTTATATAGGGGAAAATGGGGACTAAAGTGAGGTTGGAGTGGAACCATGTTTGCATAAATATGACAATGAAAAATATGCTCTCCATTGTTAAATTTTTATTTAAAATAATTCATTCAGTTACCCAGAAGAGTAATTAGGCTTTTTTCTGCTGTAAGCTACTTCATACATTGTAAGAAGTGGGTCAGGAAATCCTTGATCCCGCTCCTTAAAATACCGAATGGGATTCCTAAATAAATATGCATAGGCCCAGGCTGCACAAAAACTGTTTATTTTGTACTGCAGCCCACATCTCAGAATTACAGATAGGCACCATAATGAGATTTCTGTAACTACTCCATACAGGGCATGTTATAAGGTGATAGTAAACCTGCTGAATAACATGTTATCTATGTGCTTTGTGGAGTATGTTTGGGGGCTTAGAGGAAATTTCCTCAACTACAACCCAAAATGTCTTATTTACCTACCACATATTGTCTGCCTCTTAGGTGCAAAACAAGGAGGCAGTCTAATACCTAGACTGGCCCTTTGCAGGATCAGATTCCATGGCTTTCCAATGAAGCTGCACTGAAGAATGTTAATGGATGAGAGAGACTGTTGTTTTTTAAAATGTTTTTACTAAATTCTTGGGTACACCCAGAGTCCCTGTTTTCAAGTTACAGAATCCCTTCAAACAAGTCCTATTCAGAGTGAGACAGTACTGTTCTGGGCAATATGGAGTTGGGGGGGGGGGAAGAATAGTGGGAAGAGAGAGGGAAGGAAAGCGGGAAAGAAATAAACATTTCATTCATTTCTATAGTATGTGAGTTTTTGCATCAGCGTCAGGTAAACAGGTATTTTATTTTTATTGGCAGTGGGCGAGACCAGAGGGCTCAGGAAGGTGGTTGGTTACAGGATATTCGTCAAAGCAACGTCCAATCTCTGTGGTGTTTCAGAGTGACCCGCAATGCGAGGGAGCCATTGCCTGCTGCAGTCAACATGTGGCGACCATGTGTGTCTAAAATCCCAGGAGGCAGAGACCCAAATCTGGGACCGAGACAAGGGGATGGCAGATCTCTAGCTAGGGATTGACCTGTGGGAATGTTAGAAAGGCAGGAAAGGATATATTATTTGATGATATCTGTACTAACTTGCGTTAACAAGTTCTCTATCTTAGCATAATTCAAACATTCTCCTTTTCAAATTTGCACAGCGGTAAGCTCGTTGCAGGCTCATGTGAGCCTCACTATTTAAGAGTCCTGGTAAGATCCCTTGTTATCCCTCTTTAAAAGTGTAGAGACGACAATCTTATTAAAATCAATATACAGGTAGTTTACTCATTTTCATTCAGTTCACAATTAGATTCCTGAAGGCAGGCTTATGTTACAAAAGTATATCTATATCTATATATAAACTATCATATAAAGGAGTTCGTCCCAAGTGATTGTGACTGAGCAGTTACTTCTCCTAACACATAGAGAGAGAGAAATGGAGAAGAAAGAATGACGTACATGGAGGAGGCAGAGATCTAAATCTAGACTGAGACAAGGGGATGGCGGATCTCCAGCTAGGGATTAACTCCAGCTCATTCTGCCCCCTGACTAGAAAAATCATGTCCCCCACAAAAAAAGCCCACCCTGAGATTCCTTCCTCTTTCACTCTCCAATTTTACAAAGGCAAATTCCTATTATGCAGCCCTGTATGGAGAAGCTTTTAATGCCGATGTTTCATTGGTTTTAAAAAAAATATTCTGTTGGGAACTGCCCTAGTGGCTGGGGAAACCCAGCCATTTGAGCGGGTACAAATAATGTTGTTATATTATTATTATGCTCAATTGAATAAGGTTTCAAGGAAGCCGCCGGAGGGGAGAGATGTTCTTGGGCTCCTTGCAGGCTTGGCCACCATGAGGAGACAGTGCTGGGATTCCTGCATTGCAGGGGGTTGGACTAGATGACTCTCAGGGTCCCCTTCCATCTCTATGATTCTAACAGGGACTAGATGGGCTTGATCAAACTACAGGGGTCTTCATGTGATCTGTCTGTGCATGCAGACGAATGTTTCTCTCTCTCTCTGTGTGTGTGTGTGTGTGTGTGTGTGTGTGAGAGAGAGAGAGAGAGAGAGAGAGAGAGAGAGAGAGAACCTTCAGGGAGAGGCCCCTGTCTCTTATTTGCAACTAGGATGAATCAGCTGCAATATTCCCACACTTGACCCACCGCTTCCGTGCCTGCTCTCTCTCCACCCCCAACTCCAATTCCATGGTCAAAACAAAAAAAATTCCTTCCAGTAGCACCTTAAAGACCAACTAAGTTAGTTCTTGGTATGAGCTTTCGTGTGCATGCACACTTCTTCAGATACACTGAAACAGAAGTTGCCAGATCCTTCTATATAGTGAGAAGGTGGGGAGGGGTATTACTCAGAGGGGGGTGGGAATGGGTGATTGGCAGATAGCTGTGATGAGTCTGTTGACGACCCTTAACGACTGCAGTAGGTCTTACAGGAAAAAGCAAGGGCTGAGAAGGTGAAAAATAGCTTTGTCATGTATAGTGAGATAAGAATCCAATGTCTCTGTTCAGGCCAGGTGTCTCCATGGTTTTAAGTTTGGTAATGATTTGCAATTCAGCAGCTTCTCTTTCCAGTCTATTTCTGAAATTCCTTTGTAGTAAAACAGCTACTTTGAGATCTTGTATAGAATGTCCTGGGAGATTGAAGTGTTCTCCTACTGGTTTCTCTGTCTTGTGATTCTTGATGTCAGATTTATGTCCGTTTATTCTTTGGCGTAAGGTTTGGCCTGTTTGTCCAATATAGAGAGCTGAAGGACACTGTTGGCATTTGATGGCATACACAATGTTAGACGATGAGCAATTAAATAGTCCCGAGATGGTATGTGTGATGTTGTTGGGGCCAGTAATGGTGTTGTCCGGGTGTATGTGGCAGCAAAGTTGGCATCTGGGTTTATTGCAGGCTCTGGTGCCAGTGTCCGTGTTAAGTCTGGTTGTAGTATTATTGTGGGTTAGGAGTTGTTTAAGATTGGGTGGCTGTCTGTAGGCAATGAAAGGTCTTCCTCCCAGAGCTTGAGAAAGAGAACTGTCATTGTCCAGGAGAGGTTGTAGATCTCTGATGATGCGTTGTACTGTTTTAACTTGGGAGCTGTATGTGATGACTAGAGGAGTTCTGTTATTTTCTTTTTTGGGTCTGTCTTGCAGCAAGTTCTCTCTGGGTATCAGTCTGGCTCTGTTGATCTGTTGTCTAACTTCATCTGCTGGGTATTTTAGTTCTAAAAAGGTTTGCTGTAGATCTCTTAGGTGAGAGTCTCTGTCTGTAGAATTGGAACAGATACGGCTGTAACGTAGTGCCTGGCTATAAACAATGGACTGTTTACCCCTCCCCACCTTCTCACTATATAGAAGGATCTGGCAACTTCTGTTTCAGTGTATCTGAAGAAGTGTGCATGCACACGAAAGCTCATACCAAGAACTAACTTAGTTGGTCTTTAAGGTGCTACTGGAAGGATTTTGTTTTGTTTTGACTATGGCAGACCAACACGGCTACCCATCTGTAACTCCAATTCCATGGGTATTGCATTGCACAAACCCCCCCCCCCCAAAGCTTGCTGCACCCCGAGGCGCTTTGCACTCACCTTATTCCTTGCAAGACAAGTGCAGAGGGGGCGGGTCAGCTGTTCAGCTTAAGCCCCACGCCGTTTCCCAAGTCAGTATCGAGCAGCAGCACCCTCCCCTCTAGCAGCTTGCACTCTCTGCCTTTAACCCTTAAGGCAACGAGCATCTGTTCCCTATACTCAAAGCCCAGGTTCCCTCCCTTCCCTCCCCATTGGCTGGGTCCTGCAATTATCCCGCCCCCGGAAATATCCTGCCTCCCAGGCGGGGGCTCCTATTCCCGCCCCCGCTGCCCAGGGTCGCCGCCATCTCCAGGATTTCGGGTGAGTGCAAAGCCAGCGGCGGGGAAGGAGGGAAGGGGCTTGGCAAGGGGTGGGGGGTCCAGGATGAGAAGCCCCGGGACGGGGAGAAGAAGAGAAGGGAGGAAAGGGAGCTGCTCTTTTTAACGGGGGTCTTGAAGGTGGAGGGGGGTGTTCCCGCTGTGGAAAGAGAGAAGCTTCCTCCTGCCCGGATCTGGTGCAAAGGGAGTTGCAGGGAAGGAGGCGGGAAAGGGGAGAGGGCTGGGTATTGCAGACCAGCCTCGCCATAGTAATAATAATAATAATAATAATATAAATAAATGCTATTTATACCCCGCCCCCATTTTCTGGGATTCCCCAGCCACTCTGGGCGGCTTCCAACAAAATAAGAAAAACCAAAAGCATCCAAACATCCAAGTCTTCCGTTTTGTAGAGGAGATGGGGACATGGATTGCTGGATGGCAGAGGGAGAAAGAGGAAAAGATGGGGAGGAAAACAAAGGCAGGGGGGCCAGGCAGGAAGAAGGAAGGGGTGAGGCCTTCTCCAAAGAGCTCTTTGTTCTTGAACTACTTGCATAAAATAATGGGGGCAGGTTTGATGAGGCCCTAAGCTACTGGAGGTCATTGGGCCCTTTATATGTCCAGCTGTTCTTTGTCAACAACTATTTGTCGCTGTTTTTTGTGTTGAATATAGGCTGAATGGTAATTAATGGACCTAATAGGTATCTAAAACTATTTGCACATAACAAAATCCGCATTTTCTCAAAGTAATTGTTGAACTGAAATACAATTGAGAAGTATATTAATAGTGAAATACAATTAAGTATATTAATAGTGAAATAATTATTAAGCTCTAACTTAAAATGATTTTGTTATTCATAACAAACTTAATGCAAACACATTGGCATTTGGCAATAACAAAAGTTCCTTTAGAAACACAGTTTACAAAAAATCATGATCTAGTCCTAGAAACTTGCTATAACTTGAAATTATAATAGGTGTAAATATACAGTGCAGACAACTACTAATAATAAATACCTTTATTAATATGAATTTAATTGTTATAGCCTGTACAATGTAATTGTAGTTAATGCAATGCATTTTTTTATATCAGTCTCAATATTACCATAATAGTCCACATTCTTCATTGGGACAGCAGACCTTTGTACCCTGTTAGTGAGTGTAAAAGACAGTATTTCTAGTAATATGTCACATTACAAATAATAGCAATACTATACACACCTGTACATAAAAATTATTTTACAGGACTAATTGTATTACTGCATCTACCCAATACCCATTCAACTGTATAATTTTATCATGATTCATTGTGTACTGTGTATACAAACAGTACAGAAACATGATCTAAATTACAATACTTTCTTGCCTTTGCCAAAGCAAAGTCACTGATGATATCATCAAATGATAAACTGCTTAGCTTGTCACTTTCTATATACATGAGGCTGAAGTAATTTATCTTGAGACATTGTTGTTCCAAATTCGTTTTTTATCCTCTTCAGTCAAGAAACGGATCTTTACAAATGGCAATTTGCAATCATCATTCAGAGGAACATTCTCAGAATTGCTTCTACATTAGGGAATGCTGATTGGACACTGTTGTTGTTCTTAGTCGTCACTTAGTCGTGTCTGACTCTTTGTGACCCCATGGACCAGAGCACGCCAGGCACTCCTGTTTTCCACTGCCTCCTGCAGTCTGGTCAAACTCATGTTAGTAGCTTTGAGAGCACTGTCCAACCATCTCGTCCTCTGCATATAAGTTAAATAAGCAGGGGGACAATATACAGCCTTGTCGTACTCCTTTCCCAATTTTGAGCCAATCTGTTGTTCCATATCCAGTTCTAACTGTTGCTTCTTGTCCCACATAGAGATTTCTCAGGAGACAGATGAGGTGGTCAGGCACTCCCATTTCTTTAAGAACTTGCCATAGTTTGCTGTGGTCCACACAGTTAAAGGCTTTTGCGTAGTCAATGAAGCAGAAGTAGATGTTTTTCTGGAACTCTCTAACTTTCTCCCTAATCCAGCGCATGTTTGCAATTTGGTCTCTTGTTCCTCTGCCACTCCAAAATCCAGCTTGTACTTCTGGGAGTTCTTGGTCCACATACTGCTTAAGCCTGCCTTGTAGAATTTTAAGCATAACCTTTCTAGCGTGTGAAATGAGCGCAATTGTGCAGTAGTTGGAGCATTCTTTGGCACTGCCCTTGTTTGGCATTGCGTTCTAGACTGATCTTCTCTGATCCTCTGGCCACTGCTGAGTTTTCCAAACTTGCTGGCATATTGAGTGTAGCACCTTAACAATATCATCTTTTAAGATTTTAAATAGTTCCGCTGGAATGTCATCACTTCCACTGGCCTTGTTATTAGCAGTGCTTTCTAAGGCCCATTTGACTTCACTCTCCAGGATGTCTGGCTCAAGGTCATCAGTCACACTACCTGGAGTGTACGAGCCATCCATATCTTTCTGGTATAATTCCTCTGTGTATTCTTGCCACCTCTTCTTGATGTCTTCTGCTTCTGTTAGGTCCTTACCACTTTTGTCCTTTATTATGGTAATTTTTGCACAAAATGTTCCTTTCATATCTCCAATTTTCTTGAGCAGATCTCCATTCCCATCCATTATAGTTCACTGATGCCCAGGATGTCAATATTTATTCTTGCCATCTCATTTTTGACCACATCCAGCTTACCATGGTTCATGGATCTTATATTCCAGGTTCATATATTTTCTTTGCAGCACTGGACTTCCCTTTCACTTCCAGGCACACCCTCAAGTGAGCGATGTTTCGGCTTTGGCCCAGCTGCTTCATCAGCTCTGAATCTACTTGTACTTGTCCTCCGCTCTTCCTCAGTAGCATATTGGATGCCTTCCGACCTGAGGGGTTCATCTTCCAGTGTCATAACTTTTATACGATCATGGAGTTTTCTCGGCAGGGATACTGGCGTGGCTTGCTGGTTCCTGCTCCAGGTGGATTACGTTTAGTCAAAACTCTCCACTTTGACCTATCTGTCTTGGGTGGCCCTGCACGGCATAGCTCATAGCGTGTCTGAGTTATTCAAGCCCCTTTGCCATGACAAGGCAGTGATCCATGAAGGACACGGTCATTAAATATTACTTGGTACAGATCCTGATGTGTCAGATTTTGACTTTTTAATGTATTGATGAAAATGGTTGAGTTCTCCAACAAGGTTCATGTCCACATCTTCAGGATATGTTTGGCTTAAAGCATTAACTTCTTCATGAATCTCTTCTTTTCCAGCATCTAATTTTGTTAAGAATGAAATAATAATAATAATAATAATAATAATAATAATAATATTATCCATGATAATAATAATAATATTATTATTATCCATGATAATATTTTATATTATTATTATTATATATATATTATTATTATCCATGATAATAATAATAATAATAATATTTATACCCCAACCATCCGGCTGGAATTCCCCAGCCACTCTGGGCGGCTTCCAACAAAAAAATAAAAATACATAAAATTGTCAATCATTAAAAACTTCCCTAAACAGGGCTGCCTTCAGTTGTCTTCTAAATGTCAGATAGTTGTTTATTTCCTTGACATCTGATGCAGGGTGTTGCACAGGGCGGGTGCCACCAGTGAGAAGGCCTGGTTCCTTGTAACCTTGCTTCTCGCCAGAAGGCCCTCAGCGCTGGACCTCAGTTTCTGGGCTGAACGATGGGGTTGGAGACGCTCCTTCAGGTATACTAGACAGAGGCCGTTTAGGGCTTTTAAGGTCAGCACCAACATTTTAAATTGTGCTCAGAAACATACTGGGAGCCAACGTGGGTCTTTCAAGACCAGTGTTCTGTGATCTCGGCGGCTGCTCCCAGTCACCAGTCTTTTTTGCAGCATCATTGTATACTGATGCCCTTTGTGCCAGATTTGATTCTAATCCATCCATCGCAGGTATAAATGCTTTGATTCTCAACTTGTTTCTTGGCTCAAGGTTCTCTAAAGCTTCATCTTCATCCTCACCTATATGCCTCCTCATAGATCAGCAGTTCTCAACCTGTGGGTCCTCAGATGTTGTTGGACTACAACTCCCATCATCCCTGAGCTCTGGCCTTGCTAGTTAGGGGTGATGGCAGTTGTAGTTCAACAACATCTGGGGACCCACAGGTTGAGAAAGGCTGTTCTAGATCTTCTTCTGCTTTTCTTGTAATCAACATCAGGCAATTTGTCCTTTGCCTGTTCTTTGAAATGATCAAAAAGATCTCTGGAACCAAGTTCCTCCATTTTATTCGAAATGTTTGTGGCTTGATTACTTGTTTCACCCTTCTCTGTGGTATCAATATGCAGCCAATGCAATGCAGAAATTATTCCATTGTAACTGCCAAGTTCTGCACTTGTCGCCCTTGAATGAATTTCCCATCTAGTCTTTGACAAAAACTCTGGAACTTTTTAAAAAATATATATATTTTTATTCAGATTTTATAACAAATTTAAGCATAATCAAAACACCAAATTACCGTATTTTTCCGTGTATAAGACTAGTTTGTTTGTTTTTTACCAAAAAAAAAGTTTTAAAATTGGGGCTCGTCTTATGCACAAGTATTGCTGAGGGGTGTTTTCTTAATTTGGAGTCCCTCCAAATAGGGGGTGTCTTATACATGGGGGTGTCCTATAGACGGGAAAATACGGTACATTTTACGCTCCAATTAATCTCCCCACCCCCCATGACTTCCCCCAACTTCCCTTTTTGGGTTATAGCATATTCATTTCTTCTATTTATAATTTCATACACCTTATATATTGAAAATTAAAATTATACCTTATAACCCTCCCTTCTCCTTCCTTCCCCAGCAAAGCGGGCGCTTTAGGCACAGCCTCCAGCGCGAACCTGGGCCCTGGGCAGGGTTCTGCTCGTTCCCTCGCTCACCCAGGGAGGTATCTGGGCAGCCTGGCCTGCTAAGCCTTGCCCTCCCCCCTACTGTCATTGGGCAGCAGCCAAGGTGGCCCAACCATGTGGGGTGTTGGCTGGGCGCACGGGGGGGGGG